ACGGCGCCGGATCGCAGCCTCGGCCGTGGGCACCCAGTCCCGAGGCTGCAGCCGGTTGCCCAGCTTGGGGAGCTGTCTCGACCTGGCCCCAGGCACCCTGTTGAAGGAGTGGATGCGAGGACAGTCTGTGAGTAGACCTCCATGTCATAGCAACACCAGAGGAGGGGGGGGTTTCCGGTGGTGAAGATTGCGAGAGACGCCTATGCCTGAACGTCAACGCAACCCAGTCCACCCAACCCCCATCTCAACTGCAAGATAAAAGTATCACACTCACGGCTGACTGAGGCGTTCACTCATGGCAACACGACCGTCGCTGTCGACTGGTGACACAGGAGTCAGACAGCCCGGTCAATCCTATCGAATGGAGTGAAAAGGGGTGTGGATGGTCTTCAACAAGGGAAAGTATGTTCCCAAGGCGACGGGTCGCGCACACCCTGAAGATGCCGACGCGGCCGGATCCCGTCCATGCAGCCACCAAACAGACGACAGCCCAACTCCGCGGTAGTCCTATATTACGACTTCCCAGCGTTCTCCGGGACTCACCGAGGCATTACAGTCGGATGGCATTGCGTCGAAGTGGGTTGTTGTGCGAGGGCGAGGCACCGAAAGGGTGTAGACGCGGGGGCGTCGGTCCAGAAGAGGCTGGGGGGGCGTCCGAGAAGTGCTCTATATGACACCTCGATCGATAAATGGGACTAGTGCTCTTGCATACGCTGTGCCAGAGACCAGGAACTGAGTCAGGCATGCGCGCATCGGGCCAGATTCACACCCCTTTCTTCTGGGAGACCTATATTCTGTCCAGACCACTATCTAACCCCCACCCCCGGGGACGAGACCCCGCTCCCCTACCGCCTTTCCACCCGATCCATGCGAAAGTAAAACACATTCAAGACCTTAAAATGCTTGCTCGGGTTGCGAGGCCTCTTCGTTGTGCCTGGTCTATTCTGAACGCTTTGTGGGGCCTTACCATGTCCCGTCGGGATGCGAACGCGCCATGCATGGCAGATTGCTGTGTCAATACATTCAGGTTACAGTAGAGACTCGCGAGTTACGCTCCAGGAGTCCCAGTTCGCGCGGGATTTAAATTAGTAGAAGCCCGACGACAGATCACCGAACCCCCCAGACTGTTTATTCACATCTGAAAATCTTCAATCAATTGGAAACAATGCGCGGTGTGCCCCCGCTACTCGAACCCTTGGAGGGCCCCTTCACCACGGCCGACATATTGGTTGCCGTTAAGGCCACAGTCCACGGTACCTACTACAATAAGCCTGTGGCGCAGGCAACCATTCCTCCGGAGCGCGCGGATGACTTCCTGCAAGACGAGGGCCGCATGTTCAATCCCCCCCCCCCCCCTCCCTCAAGCCCCCTTTCCCAGAGGGGCCCAACCCACAAGACAGCCAGCACAGAGGTGCGCCTGTCGCGGGTTGCGTGGATCGTCCCCACCTTGTGACGGGGCCTGGCCTGGCACAGGGACGAGAAGCCGTTTCGAAAGCTTCGGCATCAAGCCTACGTCGCCAGGGAGCGGGCCATCAACCGGCTGGCGGAGCAGTTCCGCGCCCCCCTCTGGAATGACCACTATCGTGGGCATGGGCAACTGGTGGGCCCAGGACCGGGGGGGATAATGCGGGGGGCCCCCCCGGGGCCCTGGATACGCTTCTTACGGCGGGTGTGCAGGGTGGTGGTGGTTGACGAGCACAGGTCATCAAAGCTGTGCTGCGCCTGTCACGCCACCCTGCATGCCCACCAGTACGTGCGGGTGCGCAACGGCGTGGAGAAGCTGGTGGACGTGTGGGACACAAAGCGGTGTGTCAACAAGGGCTGCAGAGTCCATGTTGTCAACCGCGACGTGAATGGAGCGGCCAACATCCTGATGTTGACCAAGTGCTTTTTTGCTGGTGCACTTCGTCCCACTGCATTTGGTGGCCCCCCTGCTTCCCCTTCTCCCGCCCCCCCCACCCCCC